GGGTGGGTTATCTTGAGTAGTTCTTAGACGTTCTCCTCTGGATGACCCCCAACAGTGACTCAGGAGCCCCATCTTGTTCTTGAGGTCTGTAAACACTTCGGGGGCGGGGTTCTCTCCTCTCCTTCTCTCTCTCTCTCTCTCTCTCTCTCTCTCTCTCTCTCTCTCTCTCTCTCTCTCTTTCTCTCTTTCTCAGTGATATTATGTGGGGACACACACCTGCCATGACATACATGTGGAGGTTAGACGGAAATTTTGTGGAGTTGGTTATTTACCTTGATGTTGTTTCTGGGGATCGTACTCAGGGCAGTGGACTTGTGTGGTCAGCACCTTTACATGACGAGCCAACTCGCTGGCCCCTGCCCTCTTCTTCAGGTGTCGTTGTGACCATTCTTCCTGATTGATTCCTTTTTGTTCTAAAGCAGAAATCTGATTACCTCCCAAGGAAGGCGGCGGGGGGGGGGGGGTCAGGCAGGTGTTCCTTTAAGGGGTACAGCTGACCGCGGACCGCTCCTGTGCAGGTAGGATGGATGTTAGTAGTAGGGGCATGGTGGAGACAGCATGTTGAGGAAGACACGGAAATCTTAATGTATGAGTTGTCCTTTCTCATAAGTGGGTTTTTGGGAATCCTTAGGTATCAGTGGGCTATGGGGAGAGCTTAGAATCACTGCAAACATGTGTATTGTCTTATCTGATCTCCTGAACAGTCTTGCAGGGCAGCAGCATTGTGGTCACTTTGCAGAAGAGAAAGGACTCCGAGATGACCAGGCATCAGTGTACAGAAGCTTAGACATTGCGTCAATTGGGTTACGAGGTCTCACTTGATCTGTCACAAGCAGCCCGTCTGTCTTGCTCCTGCCTTCGTCCTGCCTTATCCTGGACCTCTCCCGACATAACTCAGTCCTCAGAGGGGCCTGTGGAAAGATTGCAGGAGGGGTCAATGAGATTTTTATGAACTGAGAGCTTCAGAAATAACTTGCCCTTCCCAAGGAACCGCTGATTTGATTCTTGAAGTAGTCCATCCCATTAATTCAATTAGCTAATGGGGATGGAAGCATCCTAATACACAGGGGCTGGAAGGGTATTGGCAGTCATGTGCTCGGCTTGTTTATCACAGGGAGGGAGGTTCAGGGAGCCTGTCTGACAGCAGCTGGACAGCAGGGTCCGTGGAGAAACTTGGGCATTGTGTTCCGAGGTCCGCGCTTACTTCAAATTCCTTTGTGATAACATTGGCTTAGAGTTTTGTGTAATTATTACAATAATGAAAATCACTGAAGTTTTAAACATGCAGGACTTTCATTTCTGATTAAGACAGAGTAACAAGCTAAATTTTCTGTCACTAGCAGCTAAAAGACCGAGCAAAAGATGCAACAACTCTTTGTAGGCCTTTTACAGAAGATGCCACTGGTTGTGGCTCTTGAGAGAGGGGCACACAGGACGAGGGCCATGCTCAGACTCCCTTTTTGGTTTAAGTGTTCCCCAACTTCAGGAAAGGGGAGTTCGGCGAAGTGCAAAGCAACAGACTAGATGCTGCAGGAAAGGGAGGCAGAGGAGGCAGAGGACTGTGGGTGGGTTCAGCCCTCCAGGGGAGGCAGTTCAAGAGACACCGCACTCTGGGGGTTTCCTTCAGGTCTTTTTCTTTAGTGGCATGTCTACTCATGAAGATCTAAAAGGCTAGGAGAGGCCGGTGTCTGTGGAGCCCTGGAAGGGAACAGTGACTTTAGACCCCATGTAGAGATGCTGGAGATCGATCCTGCCAAGCAGACATCCTGAGTCGACCCGTCATGAGAGCAGGGCTAAGTCCCAGGAGTGAGGATGTGGGCAGTGTCAGAGCTAAATCAGGGATGCCAGGTCCACCTTAGAGCCCAAACCCCCAAAGTCAAAAGGGTCAAGATGATGATGGCACGTGACATGACTCGGCTGGTTAGCAGAATGACATGCCACCGTGTGCAGAGGCAGACAAATCCAGCGTCTCCGTGATGCGTCACTTCCCCCAAGCGCCCCGAGTTAGTGTTACCATGCTAGGTCAGGTTTCATGTTCCAGTACGTGGCTTTTCAGGGCTACACATATTTATGACATGACAATATGTAATAACAAGCTCTAGATACATGAAGAATAAAGTTATGGGGCTGGAGAGATGGCTCAATGGTTAGGAGCACTGACTATTCTTCCAGAGGACCTGGGTTCAATTCCCAGCACCCACATGGCAGCTCACAACTGCCTGTAACTCCAGTTACAGGGGATCTGGCATCTTCACAAAGACATGCATGCAGAAAAAAACACCAGTGTAAATGAAATAAAAATAAACATTAATAAAAATGTTAAACACATAGACTTTCTTTATAATTTAGAATGCCAAGCCTCTTTCTGTTGGTTCTTTTTTCTGTTGGGGTATTTCAGCTTGTTTTTGCTCATTAATGAAACACAGTATTTCTGGGCTTCAACAATGGGTTTGGTTCCCTGCTCTAGAATCACAAGCTGATTGTTTTTGAGTTGTTCTTATTGTCCCGACTCATCTTCCTCGACTAGAGACAGTGTTCAACTGTAGGAAGACTGGCTTCCTTAACTGACAGTGTCTTATCAAATAACTGGGGATACTGTTGGTAGACTTTTGTGTCCTGTTTGCCAGCTCCCGGATAACTGACAGAGAGACTTAATATGCCTTACAAATGCCCGTCTGATGGCAAGTCTTGTTACTAGCTAACTCTTACATTTTAAATTAACTGGTATTCCTTAATTATGCTCTGCCATGTGGTGGTACCTTTATTACCATGTCGGGTTCGTCCTGCTCCCCCTGCGTCTGGCTCGAGACCCCCTGACTCTGCCAGCATTCTTCTTCCCAGCGTTTTCCTAGTCTGTCCAGTTACTGGCCAGTCAGCTTGGTTCTCAAACCAATCACAGCGACATATATTCACACAAGGTAAAGGAATATTCCATAGCAGAATACTGTTCAGAAAAATGCCCAAGGGTCTCCTCCCTTCTTCCTTTTCTCCCTCCTTCTCTCTCCAGTCTCCACCCTCCCTTCTCCCTTCCCCTCCCTTCTTTTCCTTTCTTTTCTTAGAAGAGATTTTTGTGGGGTTAGAGTAGGTAATGGGGGAATTCAGAGTGTATTATATGCACTGGGTGATATTCTAGATTTCACTGTATATCTAGATGGTTGAAGAACGCAAAAGATCTCTAGCTTTAGAGTGAATCTTGAAAGACTTCAGGAGAAGTGTTACAAGATCCTGAGTTTCTTGTAAACATCTGTTTTCCTCTGCTCTGAGACAGCCTGCAGCTGCTCTGAGCACGAGACCCTGATGGCAGGCTGGTGGGTCTGCAGCTGAAAGTTCCCGAGAGCTGGGCATGGCCAGAGCCCTATATAAGGTGCTCCTGGACACAATAAAGGGGCATTCCTGGCATTCTTGTTTCAAGGATGACCCGTGTCTCTGTCTGTGTGTTTTTGTGCGTTTCAATCTCCAGCCCCTTGCCTGGTTCACGAACTGTACGGTAGCGCATAGAGCGCAGACAGGCATGGTGCGCTACAGAGAAGTGCCTTTCAGATTTTTTGATTCATAGTATAAATTATTGTAACATGAGGGCCGGCTTGTTGGGGTTTCTGTCCTGCCTGGTACCCCACAGCCGGCAACTCCCAAGGAAAATCACACACAAGACTCCATAAGATTATAAACTGATTGGCCCATTAGCTCAGGCATCTTGTTAACCCTTGTAACTTATATTAACCCATTATTATTATCTATGGTAGCCATATGGCTTGGTACCTTTTTCAGCTGTCAGCTCACATGTTGCCTCTTCGGTGATCTGGGCAGGAATGGTGGAGGGAGCTTCCTTCTTCCTAGAATTCTCCCAGTCTCTTTTCTCCACCTCTACTTCCTGTCTGACTTTCCTGCCTATACTGCCTGCCTGGCCAATCAGCGTTTTATTAAAATATGATTGACAAAATATGGATAATTCTCCCGCACCAAATTATAATCAATTTTATCATGCAACTTTGGTTTCTGTTTTAAGTTATTTTCATGCTTACCTTGCTATGATCTGGCTACGAAATATCTCTCCACATGTTACAGGCATGGTCCCCAGCTGGTAGATGCAGTCACTAAGAGATGGTTTCAGTAGGAGGTCTCTGACTAGCTTCATTGACTTACTGCTGATAGACTTTTAACTTGATGGTATTATTGTGAAACGTTAGAAACTTTCAGAGGCAGGGCTTTGTTGGAGGAAGTAGGTCATTGGAGGTGTGTACTTGGAGGCAGAGACTGTGTCTCCTCTGAGTTCCTCTCCTCCTCCTTTTCTCCTCCCATACTTCTCCTAAGCACTGGGAGGTGAGTAGATTTGGCCACACGATGCCATCTGCCTCTCCTCAGGCATAGACCACTAGATTCAGCTGATCTGCAACTGAGAAGCCTGAAACCCTGAGCCACGGTAAACACTTCCATCCTCCTTTACCATGGTTTCTTTGTCAGAGGGACAGAAAGATCAACTAACATGCATGTCATAAAACTTATTCCTAAATCTCCTGAGTGTGGAAGAAACTTGTTGAGGTTTCATTACAGCAGCCTTAACTGGGGGGTTCTGTGGAGGCCCTTTGGGGAAAATTATTTCTTTAGCCTGAGTAGACAGTTAACATTTTGAGCTACCCTACTTGGGTGGGCCAATCATCTGGCCAAAGGTCAAGCCTCAGAAGAATTCGTGTTAAGCCATACTAAAGAGATGGGAGGAATAATTATCCCTTCCGTGAGACCACACCCTCTTCCTTCCTTGGACCTCCTCCTCGGATGGAATTGGTTGCAGAGTTGCAGGTAGGCAGCATCCTAGGTCTGTGAGTGTTTCTGAATTACTCTGGAAAGCGTAACTTCCCTGTTTCTTCTCTTTTCTAAGCATGGCTTCCTTCACACCTGGAATTTGCTCCCTGCCTTGTGCCTGCTTGTCCACCACACGTCCAGTCTCTTTACCTAACCCAAACGGTATGGCTTTCTCTCTTCCTCTGCCTTGTCTTGCCCTCTAGGCAGTTGCTGAGGGACAGCCAGCCTGCTTTTGAGTTTTTCTTTCAAACTCTAATAAAATTGTTATTGAGCTTCTTTTGGAGTCTGTGCTTAAATTCCTTTATTAATGAGACTAGCCCCCCCCCATGAGGGGTTCTGATTTCTTTTGTGGCAGTGTGAGAACCCACCATCTGCAGGCCTCTGTTCTGTGGTCTAGCTTGGGGGTTGGTGGCAGTTCTGGTAAAAGCAAGCCCTCACTATAGATTCTTTTCCTTTCACTAAAAAGTAAGATTGCTTTTTAATCAGAAAGGAAGCAGAAGGTTTCTTTTAGAAATCATTTTATTGTGATTACTATTGGATTTTGGGGAGATTTACTGTTCTTGAAATAAGTACATTTATTCAAGGATGGAATAAGATCAAGATTATTAATTGTTTTAAGGCAGAAAACATCTTGAATCATGAAAAATCTTAATTCATGAGTCTTAATCATCCTCCTATTTGTAACATCTAATGGCTGGCCCTGTGGCTCATGCTTCTGCACTGTTGGAATGCCATGGAATTATTTAATAGTTCATTTATGTTGCTTGAAGTGAAGCCTGGAACAGGGCAGGGATGGTTGTCCATCTCATGCTGGGACTGCCCTGGCGGCTGAGGAGGTCCCAAAGAGCAGGGGTTTCACTGGCTTGGTGTCCTTTGGAGAGTGGAGATGGCAAGATTTACTGATTTAAACCCTCAAAAAAGGCCTTTACTTGGGCCCAGAAACAAAATCAACATGTAACAGAAAGACAGTAGACAGATGAGCAGGCTCCTTAGCTCCCCTTCTCCTGATTCTCGACTCCTTCTGTCTGAGTTTCAGTAAATGAGTAGATTTTGTTTGTTTTGCTTTTATGAGTTGTATGGGGTACTTTTTGAAGGTTCTCATGTTAGCAGATGCTAGATGGAAGGATATGTCCCAAACCATTGGCACCCCTGGCTCCTTTAGACAGTTTCCTGACCAACTACAGATTTCCGCTGCTAAGAGCTCCCATTGCTTTGTGTCTTCCCCACAGAAGCACCAGCTTTTCCAATGGTAGCCACTATGCCTGAGGGAATGAAGAATGAAAGAGAGCTGTGGTCTCTCTTTCCGCCCTAGGCAAACCAGGACATCGAAACCCAAGTGTGGCAGTGCTGATGACCGTTCTATCAGAACTGGATTTGCTGCCTTGTTGAAGGCGGCAGCACAGACCGAAAACGTTAGGAAATTACAATAAATCAAAAAGCATTAAAAGCAAACGACCTCTGCTCTGAGTCTCCCTCCTGCATGCAGGTGTCAGCAAACTTTTGCTGTAGACGTACAGACAGGTGATATTTAGCTTCTTCAGACTGTTGCCGTAGCTGAAGGCCATATTGTTCCCACACTGAGAGAATGGACAGGGTCCTGATTGGCAGAGGAGGCATCTTATTTTATTATTTCTTTTATTTATGACAATTACATCATTTCCTTCTTCCCTTTCATCCTTCCAAACACGTCTCCTTTACACTTTTCTTCTTCCTCCCATACACTTCTCCTTTCTCTCTTTAAAATTCACGACCTCATTTTTCATTAACCATCATTACATATATATATATACATATACATACATATGTATATACATATATATTCCTAAATATATTCTGCTCAGTCTGAATAATGTGATGTTAATCCCACCACCACAGTTTAAAGCCAAGTTTGAAGCAATTAAATACTGGCCAGGAGGATGGGCTCTGGCCAGGTCCATCTCTGATTCTCCAGAAAAATAGCCCTGAATCAAGTTTTGCAGCAGCTTAAGTATTTCCCATCAGGTCTAATCAGGGACAAACATACATCCTGACATACCTCCAGCCTACATCCAATCAGGGGCAAGCATACATCCTGACGTACCTCTAGCCTACATCCAATCAGGGGCAAGCACATTTTGACATACTTCCAGCCTACATCCAATCAGGGGCAAGCACACATCCTGACATATCTCCAGCCTACATTTAATCAGAGGCTGCCCTTTTATTCCCAGCCAGCCAGACCCAAATAATCACACAGAAACTATATTAACTACAACACTGCTTGGCCAATCACTTAGGAGGTGTATTGCTAGCTAGCTCTTATATCTCAAATTAATCCAATTCTATTAATCTATGTATCACCATGAGGCCGTGGCCTACTTGTAAGGTTTGGGCATCTGTCTGCTTTGGCAGCTACATGGCATCTCCTTGACTCTCTCTCTCTCTCTCTATCTTTATTCAGATTTCCTGCCTGGCTCTATTCTGCCCTGCCATAGGCCAAAGCAACTTCTTTATTAAAATACATTCACACCATACAGAAGGGAATCCCACGTCAGGTATGCGTACATCGTTATGCAGTTCCCGTCCATGAACCTCTTGTTCACATGTAATCAAGCACATCTGGTACAGATGGGTCAAACAAACTTGTTTACGGAAATGAAAACACGTGGCTTGTGGTCTCCCATAAACAACAGCCTCCAGCATCTCAGGAACTGTCTGTCCCTGGGCAAGGGGCTTGCAGATCAGAGGCATTTTTGTTTCATGGATCTCTAAGGTACAGTAATTAAAATTTAAAATGTAACTTTGGCTCTCACAGTTACTCATACGTTCGTTTTCAGGGCTGACTATTTGATTTTGGATGCCCAATTAGAGTGTTGTTTCCTGGGGAAGACTGTTTCTCCTGGCATTACAGGAGATGCAGTCTCACAGCAAACTCCCTGCTCCTCTGGCTCTTGTGATCTTTCCAGCCCCTTTTCCACACGTTCCCTGAGCTGTGGCCCAGACACATCCATTGGGTCCACAACTGTGCATTTTCATGGCTTGTGGTTTTCTGTGCTGTTCCACAGGAGACATTTTAAAGTCTGCGCAGAGGCGTTTGGGTGCCTCTCTCCAGCTACCAGGGACACCAGGCTGTCACCTGTCCTTTCGTCACATGCAAAATTAAAGGGTTGAACAAGCAATCAGGAGTCCAGGTTTGAAGGTGACCTACCCTCCCCCTGTCTGGACACAAGGACAAAGAATTCTGCCAGCCCAGGCAGTGACTGCACAGTTGTCTGGACCTCCTACCCTCGGCTATGAACCCCCAGGCTCCTTTTCTGTGTGGGAAATGAGGCGTCTTTTTGAGAGGAACTTTTTTCTTTTTTTCCTCAGACTCAGACAAGAATAAAAAAACTCTGTCTCTTCTACCAAACTGCTTCCTGGTTTGTGGGAAGGGGAGAAGAAGAATCTCTGTTTCCCCAACACAAACGCTGTCATTGGAGCAGGCCTAGGCACCTGGCCTGTTAGCAGACTGTGAAACTAAGGACCTGGACCCATAGGACCCCAGTAACAGCTGGAGAAATAGGACCTGGAACCACAGGACCCTGAGGAAACAGTCGGAGGCATAGGTCCTGGGTCAGATCTGTGGCCCTGGAAAGAGATAGGACGTTCTGGATGGCATGGAAGGTCACAGTAATTATCTATCTCTTTTATTTTATTTTTTGAGACAGGGTTTCTCTGTAGCTTTAGAGCCTATCCTGGAGCTAGCTCTTGTAGACCAGGCTGGCCTCGAAATCACAGAGATCCTTCTGCCTCTGCCTCCCGAGTGCTGGGATTAAAGGTGTGCACCATCACTGCCTGGCTTCTAACTTTTATAACTGGGTGTTTTCTGATAAAGAGCAAGGACTTATCACTGCCTTGTCCTGGAATGCGCCAATCATTCAGTCAGGACAGACCTGCAGGAAAGCTCTCCATATTAGACTCTAGAAATAGCAGAAAGCCTGTAGGGTGAAAGGGACAACTGGGGCAGGAACCCGCCCAATCACTGAGCAGCCTGACTGAAAGAAACACACCTTTAGAAAGACTGAAGACATGTACCCTGGCTCTGAAACTAGTGTCAAAAAACAAAACAAAACAAAAAAAACAACAAAAAAACACACTTTGTCCCTAGAATCAGAGCCAGTGAAAGAAATATGCCCTGGTTCTAAGATTAGAGTCAAAAGATAAAAAGGACCAGTGAAGAAAACACGGTTTGGCCATGAAGTCAGAGCCATCTCTGTCCCTGAACAGCTAAACTGACCAATCCCTGAGCAGCAAAACACTAACCAATCCCCCATCTCCTTGGGAAAACTTCGCCCCCTAAGAAGCCCTATATAAACCTCTCCACCCCTTCAGTTTAGAGCTACCTTTAAGTAGCACAGGCTGCCACTCTCCTGGACTCCTCCTTCCCAAATAAATCTCTTTCTCAAAAGAGTCTTGGGTGATGACCTTCATTCGCTGGCACAGAGCAGAGGAACCTGGCTGGGGACGGAGCTGAAAAGCCTTGCTGAGACGTACCCTAGGGGGCCTCAGCAAGGCAGAGCAGAACAGGAGAACCTTGCCAGGAAGCTCCTTAAGGGAGCCCAGTAAGGCCAGCTCAGTTTTCGCAGGAGCCAGAAAAGATTGCTCCATTTCTGCAAGGGGCTTCCCCTAGCAGAGCGTTAGCAGAAGAAACATCTTGGGCCGGAGAAGAAGTAGACAGCTCTGCTAGGACGTCCCCATAAGGGAGCAGAGCAGAGCTCAGCTGTAGCTGCTCGCCAGGAGAGGAGCAGGATCCCTATATCCTGCGGGGAGACCACCCCCCACGGCACCCTAGCTTCAGGTATCCTGGCTTCCTGATAGTCAAGACACCTTTCCTCCAGGGCTGAGCTGTCCCATTGCAGCTCCAGCCTCTAGAGCTGGCCTATTGCGGCTCTAAGTATATCCTGGCTTCCCGATAAGTCAGGATATCCCGGTACCACTACTGTACCGCATTCCCCTACAAAGCCCTCCTGAAAGGTATATTGGGAGAAGGTTCCTTTAGCCCCATCTGTTCTCACTCTTGAGGTTGTTGCACATTTTTCTGCAGTAAAGTCTGCTCATGTTCTGCACTCCATTTTGTGTACCTCATCTGAATCCTTGTGATGGCAACTGCAAGCGAAAGGCCAGCGAGCAGGGGCAGGATGGGCCTGGGGAGTAAGCTGTGTCGGGGAAGCTGCGGAGGGCAGCTCTGTAGTAGCAGGGTCTGCTGTCTCCCGAGCTGGGGAGTTGCAGGGCTGAAGGGGGTGCAGGGAAGGAGACCTGAATTTCCATTTTTATTTACTTTTTTGTTCTTCGGACTCGAGATTGGCCATGGCTAGTAGTAACCAGTGCACGGACAGTTAACGATATTAGATGAACAGCAGACACCCTTCATCGTGGCCTTTTCTAGGGTCTATGGAGCAAGGAGTCAAGAATCTAGAGAAAGAAATTAGTTTACTTCCAGAAATCAAGTTATCATTATTATTGGAGTTGTCAAGGTTCAACCAAAATGGAGAAATTTTACAAAATGGTGTGACTCTGGTTAACAAAAAGGATGGAGATCATTGGAGTGGGGGTGTGGCGGCTGCTGGGAGGTGTCCAGAGAAAGAAACTGGTGACAATATGAAAGTGGTCATAGGCAATGTGGACATAGATGTTCTAATAAAACTTTATTTAGGGATAGCTAGATTAGACCTGCAGGATACAGCTGCGAATTTCTGAACTCACCCTCACTTTGCTAAAAGCACGCCATCTCCAAATGTTCAAATTTCACTTTCCTCATATCCTTAGCGATATTGATAGAGAAATAAAGGGAAACAATTTTATATGGGTAAATGCATTTCACTTGATTAATTAATTAGTTTATCATTGCCGTGTTGGAGACTGAACTTACAGCCTTGTGTGTTGTAGGCTGGTGCTGTACCATGAACCGACCCCACCCACAAAATGCTGTCATAAAACCGTAAGCTGTATTTAGACATATTTTAAACTCAGTGTTACTTAAGTTCAAGAGAAGAGAAGGAGCAGAAATGAGACCGCAGAATCTGCCGAGATTCACACTGTGTCTTCATCGTTCGTGGTGTCGTTCCTAAAATATTTCCTGGGAGTGAAGGCAAGGAACGAGGATGGGAAGGCTGGAAGGTCTTCTACTGTTCAACGTTGTCGTTTTCCATTTTGGATGGGGCAGTGAGGATAAGCACCTGCCATTTCCCACCATTTCCCACGCCTCTGAATATCCATGACTGGCCCATTGTCTTCAAATGTTCTATTGTCACAGCAAGATGCCGGGAAAAGTGCCCGTATCCGGTCGGAGGCACAGACACACAGGAGGGCACGAGGTCACGTGTTAGTGGTTGGTCAGGGGGCAGAGGTAAATGCTGCTGCTACCACAGTGCCCTGCCCCCTCCCTGAGTGATTCAGTCC